CCTCCACGTGGTGCACCCTGGGCAACGTATACTCATACGGCAAAAAAGTCTATTAACCGGCAGTTGACTTCTCACTTCAAACTACCATAATCCCACTGTATGTCATATTCGACCACTTTCACAGTACTCATCTTACCTTTTCCCTACCTTTATGTCTGTCTGCCTCTTTTACATCTGTGAATCACTCTTCTGTTCCCCACCCTTCGACTTTCTGCTACTTTGATGAACCTTCCCTCTGCGAAGCCAGAAGTCAGCTAAATGGCTAATGATAGGTATCAAAACGCCTGCCATTTGATATAAATAAATAAATTTACCTTTATGGGTTAACAAAGTGGAGTGAATTAGTTGCCTTCATAATTAATAGCTCCAACTAATACGGAAATCTTTCAAAGAACAACTTTAAATGAAAAATGAATTATTCTGCCAGAACTGCAGACGCGAACTTTCAATTCCACACAAATTAAATGCCACCTATAATTTCTTTTTAAGATGGGAAAAAAAGTTATGGAGCTTATATTAACAACAACAACAATCAATCAATCTGAAGTGATAAATCAATTGTACTAAGAGTAACTTTAATTCAGCGATCCATTTCTCCTGAATATACCCAGCTCTTGGGAAAGCGGAAAAAGAATAAGCTAACGATCTCCTCAGCACAGTATGGAAACCTTAGTGAAAGATCTACTCAACCCTAATCCTTTGTTATTTAGGACGGAAGCGTACAGTGTTATCTTGACCATAAGACGCTTGATTACAGTATCATTATTTAATCAACGCTTAATGCAGCTATCACAAGGTGGAGGTGATTAACTGTGCATAACGGATCTTTAAGTCACCAAATGGTTATGACTAACTTGACTGATTTCCACAATAAAGATTCGATTCAATTAACTATTCAGCATCTCAGTCAAGGTAAAAAGATAGAGAGAGAGAAAGGTTGATAAAGCTCTAACTTTTTGCTTTGGTTAGATCCCAATCGGTTGATGATTTTATAATAGTTAACCTCAGTCAGACTTGCGTTGTGCATAACGCTAACACGTCTGGATCGAGGTATCTCATGTGCCCTTTAAGAAGCAAAAGGGGTTGACTTTGTTGGGACCTCAAAGCCAATCAACAACGAGTCAACGTACCCAAACAGCCTTTAATCATTTAGCGCTGTGCCTGTGACATCACAACCTCAATGGACGCCTTCCACGTCATTCGTTCGGTTTCCTGAACATTGTGAGGCAGCTTAGGTAACTTCTGGGCCATTTAATACTAAGGGATTTTTCCACAAAGATTACAGAGAGTACAGGTCAAGGTTTACTTGTGTAGTAATCGATTGTAATCGCTTCACCAGCAATACAACGCAACATTAAAAAATTAATGCAAGTTCTCAAGACCATTTTGGAAAATATTAGCTTGCATTCGAGGAATAAACACTTAAAAATAAAATTTCACCCAGTTTACGAATTTATGGATCAAATCTTGCATGTCAATTCCATTGGACTCAAATTCGTTAAATGCTGCAAGCTCAGTATTATTTATTAACAATATTTTAATAGTGAAAACCAAGTAATGAAATTAAAATACTATCAAATCACGAAAGGTGAGTTAAATAAAAAATATTGAAAATTTAATTCAGAATATGGCTCAGAAAATACGAAAAGGGTCAAACGGACTAAAACATTCATTCTACTATTTCAACTTGAAACAAGGCGATGAATAGCCTTAGTGAGCTTTATCCTGTAATTACAAATATTGTATAGATACTATTGTGGAAAGTAATCAATAGCCAACACATGTTTAATTGACGAGGTTGGAATTTCCAGAATGTTTGGATTTATTCAAAGAGAAGAATAATAATAGGAAATTTGTGAACCTTGGATGAAATAAAAGGAATTTTGAAAGCAATAAAAATTTGCATAAAAGAAAGATCAGGCTTGCCAAAGAAAAAAATTAATAAAATCTACCCAATCGGAACGACAAGTGCCTCGATTAAGAAAATTTGAGCTCCATTATGTATAAAACATAAAGATATTTTAAGACACTAAAACTCCAATTAATCGTATAAAATTTACGAATCACTTAACCGAAGTTTTATCAAAATTCCTTACAGAAACCTTTTAAATAGATTTTACTGTTCATACTCTAAGTTCAAATTCATTCCACCCCCACCCCCACATCGCTTTCTGAATATTATATCAGTTAATTATTTTTCCATCGTGTGAGTTTCTATGATCTAACAAATTTTAACCGCGTGCATATTATTAAAAATGGACATTTCTTGTTGAGGATATTTATAGAAACAATGTGACAAATTGAGTTGAGGGATAAATTCAAAAGGAGGTATTTGCGACTTTCAATTCAGGCAAAAGAAAGAGTTATGAGCTATGGTCTATAACACATGCAATTAAACTTAACATGAAAAATTTAATTTGTCGGTTCAGAGTTAACTTGCGACAATCAGTTAAAAATAAAAAACATAGGCTAAAATAAATTACCTTGCGCCGGTTTAGTTTTGGTTGTACATTTTATCGTTTGCTATTTTTGATTAGCAACAAAGTAATTACATATGGATTCAATGATGCAGTACTTTTTTACGAAAATTATTTTTCCTATTATATAATAGACAATGCAAATTATATTGCCTGTATGAAAAAAAATTTCTATTTTTTTCACTAATAAAGTTACATATTTTAAATTGACAGATAAATGAAACTTCTTCTTTAATTGAATATAAGTTAAAGTATCGCAGAAATTTGGTTTTGCTACTGCTGTAACAAAAAAACATAAAAAAGTCATTATATGTCCTTATAAGGAGTGAGTGGAAAACTACCTCCAGTGGTGAACTCTGGGCAACGTTCACTCATACGGTAAAAAAGCTTATAAAACGCCAGTTGACGTCTGATTTCAAACTACTTGTCCTAACTGTAATGCATGTTCAACCCGTTTCACAGTACTCATCTGACCTTACCATTTCTCTGCCTTTGTGTCTGCTGGTCTCGTTTACATCAGCGAATCACTCTTCTGTTTACCCTCTCCACTTTTGTTTCTTTACTGTTGCTCTTCTATGTGAAGCCCGAAGTCAACTAAATAGCCTCTGATAACTATCATAAAGCCTGCTATTGGAAATAAATAAGTATATAATTATAATTCAAAGAATACTGTAAAATTAAATTGCATAAAATGTAGCAAAAGAAAGGTCATGGAATTTTAAAGAACAAAATATTTTTATTTTATATTTTCATATCGAGACCGATTTCAAGCACCCATAAAGCAGATTAGCTATCTTGCTGCATGAAACATATCCAACATTTTAGAATGGAAGATAGAGTGTGAACACATCTTTAATATTTATTTTGTGGCCATATCAATATCTGATGTTTAAATGTCAGACAAATGAAATGTAAGAGGCATAAAATTCTTATCATTAATAAAGAAGATTGAATTTTAAAATAACTAAATTAATGAAGCTCTATTATTAATTAGTTTTATTTTCTATATACTGAGCTTGTGTTTTACTATATCAATTAACTCTACTCTTTGCTGTTTCTTATCAATAAGTCTGTTCTGATGGCCTCGAGGTTTTTCCGTCAATTCTGGAATAAAGAATTCAGGACTTATTTATGCAGTACCGTAAGCTTTCGTGCTAATACATTATATCTGCTTCGCTGTAAATATTATTCTAAGCCTGTTTTTTATTCGTCTATAGTTCGAATTTTGCCTTAGTTTTATTAAATAGATTTACAAATGTTCTACCATTGAAATAATTTTGAAATTTTGACTAATTGGAAATTTTAACGTAGCATTTTTGGGGTCCTGTCGCAAATTGGGGTCTTCCTCTAGCAGCTTTAGCCGATCTCAAAAAGAATCCTGAGATGATTAGTGGAAAAATGACATTCGGTATGCTCTATTCTAAAATTCTCTTTTTTTATGTCATTGTTTTTCTTTCGATTTTCGAATTTATGTCTGTTTTAGCACTTCTATGTTACTCTGCTCTCTTTATGCGATTCGCTATCCGTGTTGAGCCGAGAAATCTTCTCCTTTTTGCTTGTCATTTTACAAATGAGACAGCTCAGGCTGTCCAAGGGATACGATTTATTGACTTCTGGTGAGCTTTTCAAAGATCATTTCTTTCAATCTTCTTGGTTATCATTAGTCTTTTATATTTGGGTTTCTTTATTTCTATGCTGACCTAATTTGTATTTTGTAAATTGACCTTGAATTATAAAATTAAATATTTAATACCATTATATAGTGACCCATTTTTTCTACCTATTCGTGACATAAATTAATGTAAAATTCTTTGATTTCGCAGGCATATTAAATCTGAGGATCAGAGAAACGAAATCCGCAAGACTTTTGCAGAGCCATTTCCCCAAGTTCTCTCCTAATGTGGATCTCAATAGATAGATTTCTTGGCTACTCCTTTTTTCGATTATGTGCTTACAGCATTAATAATCTTCTGTATTATCGCTTAGTTCTATGCTTTTTGCTAGGTCTATATTTTGTACACTACAATTTCTGGTATTGCGGCCCGACATTGGTGGTTGTGTGCAATACTCTTATGAATTTTTATAAAAGCTCTTACAATCATTGGTTTTTTTAATTGCGCATTGACAAAGCGTTACTATTATTTATCAAATCGGTAATTGCCATTTTGCTCATCAGTATGCAGCGATTCGATTGGTTGCAGCCGTGTATGAGCATGTTATTTTGTGGACGTGTGCTAGCTTACGCGGACATTCAGTCTAGTTTTACCAGCCATGAGTCACAGAGGCGTTCGATTTATGCACCAGTTAGTTCTGACCTCATGTCGGTCACGCTGTCAACATCCACCCTGGTTATGGCTGCTCTAAGACCCCCAAATGAATTCGACTGCCATTGGTGGCTTTAATCACCAGTTGTTCTGTTAATTCTCGACCCACTTATCGACCTGTGCCTTTCATAGACTTTGGTGTTTCCTGCTAACCAGGCTAAATTAAGGGCATGTGAGGGTTGCGGGTTTATGCCAGTTTAGCTCTCTTCGGAGGATTGAACAAGAATACCATTTGCAGATGTTATTGATATAAAAGTGTAGTGGACTTCGTCGGATACATTTTGGTGGAGTTCTGTATAAATACTAATTTGCAAAAGTTATAAACTACTACATTAAAGAGACTAGATGCATCATGCCAAAATCACCTTGAACTCAGATACTAATTTCCCTTTACACTGTTACTACCATTTTGGTACATGTTTATTCTATTACTAACCTAATGATGCCCAATATAAGGTGAGACAGTATTGGGAAGTCTTAATCCTCAGGCCATGATCTAGATGTCTATTAAATAACCGTAAAACCACATTTGGCCCTGATAGAAGAATGTGGTGCTGGGATGGGGAGAAGACACAGTGTAATCGCCCCCAAATCCTTTATTGACTTCACTAGGACTAGACACGAATAAAAGACGTCTTCTCATTGGCATAGAAAATCACAATTAAACGAGTGAGGTAATGCTCGTAGAACCTGTCCATCCCCTAAAAAGGTAAACTATGGCGTTGGGGTTCTCATTCCAATTCCATCCCAAAGCATACTCTGAAGTTAGCGCAACATTAGATGGATACCAATAACTCCGAAAAGAAACAGACAATTTGCGTTTCAATCCCCATTATTAATAACTGAAATAATTAAAAATTGTAGAGGTCATGTGAATTAGGCAATAGGATGCGAGTCTTCTGACTAACTTTATGCTATTGCCATTCTTTGTTTGTCTTGATTTTGTTTTGAATATTGTAATTGATGGCAACATTTTCTCCTCACTTTGTCAAGAAGCATTGAATTTTTGGAATATTTATATGAATGTGCTCAGCCACTAAAGCAAATAGTAGAAAGTTTATTTCACGTGCCCAAACACACTATGTACCATATCTGGCGATTCATGCAGCTGCGAAATAGGAAGTCTTTAGTTCCTCAATAAACAGTGGATTATATTTAATGCCTTATAAAGTTTGAATGCGGAAGTTGTTTTACCACTCGTGCGCCTATTTCTGCTTGGGATTCTACTCAATCTCCCATGAGTACTTCTCAATTCTGCAGTATTTCCTTCTGTCTTCGAGTAATTCTAACTCAAATATCAACTCTTCCCAAAATCCTATCTTCTGGAACAACAGACATTTCTTTATTGAAGCATTTTTCGTCTAGGCAATGTGCCCAGAGCTCACAAATTGTCCACTACTGTCAAATTTCCAAGATGTATTGGTCGGTACAATCACATTCGAGTTTTTGTAAAATATAGTAATATTAAAGCGATTGTCCAAATGCATTTATGACTATAAAATTACCACACTTTCATGTCACTAAAGCATAATCATATATCTCAAACTCTGTCTTTCTCTGGATAACTCATATTCCAAATGGTCCGTAGTTACATTCATTAATTCTGCCTTAATCGATGTTCTCATCGAAGACTTACGCCTGATGCTTTCTACCTATGGCTTACTAAAACTAGGTGTGTTCAGTAACGTCATCCACTTCACTCAAACTCTAGTTGGGTACTTTTGTCATGTTCTCAATATCCTCCCATCTAATAGTTCTGCAGATGAGGAACTTGCTGAGAATGAAAAAAGGGAGCCTCTGCATTATATTGGGAAGGAGAGTGAACGATAATATCACTCCAAGGATTTCTTTGATGAGAAATTATTTCAATTTGATTAGAATTAACCAGTCCCTATCGGCCATTCCCATTGAAGAGTATCAATTTTCGGACCGATGACCTGCCAGATTATCAGCTGTCTACCGCATTGCTTGATTAAATTTTAAATAATATCTTCCGTTTTATAAGCCAGATAAGTCTCTCCCAATGCTGCTGTTATTAAATTGTTACAGTAATTTTCATTATGTTGCATGTTTTGTTTTAAAGGGCAGATATTCATCTGCATTCAATCCTGCGATACTTTAAGGATGGTTATTGCTAAAACTCATTGTTAATACTAAGAATTACATTATTATATGTGTTTCTTCAACTTTCTTGCCATTTTATATAAACTAAAACAATCAGAAGCTAGTCGCTAAAAGTCCTTGCCAATCAATGTTCCTAAGGCATTTCTATTGGTTCACACAAAATTCCTTCGGTGTGGGAAATGGACGGGAATTACCAGAATTGGTTAACGGGCGTAACCACATTGTGCAAGCTAACTATTTATTATCCTCGAAATTAGATGGCTCAAATGGTGCTCAAGGGTAAGATAAATCGCTGATTGGGTTTAGATGCTAGATTTCAAAGATGATTCCCTGAGCTAGCTTTCCACTTTCCATGACTTTGAAAGGGCGAAAGGAGGATAGTGGTTTGGTAAGAAAGAGCTCCGGATAACTCAAAATCTGAACTGGGGTTACAAAACGCCTGTTAGCATGTTTGAGGCCGAGAGAAGACACAAATCGAGTTATGCCGCGAAAAATTTCATTTAAGAACGAAGTAGAAGCTTCCAAACTCTCATGATAAAGGAACCATATTAAGTATTCAAATCTCTAAGGCAAGTTCTGATCTCTACCTCGCAAAAATGAGGTGGATTTATACTTTCAGTATACTCTAACCCATCTCGTATTTACACGCCAGTTTCTCGCTAATTTTAGCTATAAGACCGTTGTAGAGGGGAAGTAATTTCTCCTTTCTTCCAACTCTCACCTCTCTACATTCTTTACTCCTTCCTTCAACAGGTACACTTTTCACTATAATGATTGTCTTTTTTAAGTAAAAGGCAGGACCTATCTACTCAACACATACTCACTCTAATGGTGGCCGATTTACACCCTTTAATGGCGCACTCAAGCTGTAAAAGTACTTCGAAAAAACCACATCGTAATCAAACATTCCTTTCCAGAAAGGCGATAAATAACATATTGTCGAAATTTATCGTGTATGAACAGGTACATATTTAACGTCAAAACTTTTTTCGGGCGCTTAGTGATTTTTGGAATCAAGTAAATGATACAATTGGAACTGACATAGAGACCAACGTACTAATACTGATTAATAATAAATAATTTTTCCAGTTGAATGTGAGGTAACCGTAAACTAGGTTTAGGTTAAACCACGGGGCTATTATTGCTGGACCAATTGAAAAATTGCCTTTGAGACAAGTGAACTTGAGTGTGAAAGACCTCCCTTGGCATCGAGTGTGTGCAGCTTGTAAATCGAAACTTAGTGTGTATGTTCTCTCCGGATGCGCTTACAAGTATTTCCAAATGTATGCCAAAGTACAGGGGCAATTCGGTTTGAAACGACTCCCTATAAGGATCCCCAGCTGCCCAACTATTCAAGAAAGTGCCAAGTTATCGACACACAATGAAGCTATAAAATTGTTGAAATAATAGAGATAGATTATCACAGGAGATCATAAGCATATGGATAAAAATTCTGTCGACAGAAGTCATGCGAAACCTTGAGCCTAGATGCCTACAACTGGGTCGGCCTTCCGACGAAATTTTCACAATTAATAATAATAATATCTATCAATTTGTAGATTAGTTAATTTTTAAAAACATGATGCGCATATTCACCTTCTATCATCAGTTTGGTCTGATGGTGGAACGAAATTTAATTTCGTCAAATGCACCCTAATGCCCGCAGTAAAATGACCTAAGAAACTATTTGCATAACGTAGTAATGAATCATTGCTTTCGTTCTCCAAAAAACCCGATTGGTTGATGTGATCACGTGACGCCCCATATCCTCGGTCCAATGTTTGCTCATCATGTCTCTAAGGTCTGCTAAACGCGTCCTTGAAGGCGAAATTAGCTTTGGAAATTTCCTTACAAAACAAATGATCTCCCTAAAGACCAACAAGATATGACGCCTTTCCCAAGTGAAATGGCAAGGAGCTAAACAAAATCAGGTGTATTTTGGACAAGGGATAAAGGATAAAGAAGGGATAACAGGAATAGGCACTGAGGTTGTAGATACCGAAATGAACCAAAGAATTTCGTTAGGGCAGTTGGTTGGTTTCGCGTTCCTAGTCTATTGACGAGGCTCCGATGAAAATCGCCCACAGATTATTAGAACACACTAGGTCAGTGGTGGGCGCTGTATCGTCTTAGAGATTTGCATGAGAAAAACTTCTTACATTTGCAGTCCTTGAGGGACTTGCCTGATTGGTTAAAACTAACTCAATGGGTTTTTGGTTATTAGAAAATAGCTAATGATAACAAAGCGAATTTTTAATGCATGAAAGTTAATGACAGACAGTGTACCAGGTGCAAATAAAAGCGTAATACACTTATTGTCAATAGGATTGAGGACACTTACGTAACCTCCTTTCTAGTAAAAATTTATGCGGATCACTTTTCTTCCTTAGTCACTTCAATTATTGCGCCTAGATTTTGATTCTTCTTTTTCATAACCTCGGATTGATTACA